CATGAGCAGCTCTCCTCTGCCATATCTGTCTACCATGCTCCCAGCTTGGAGCTAGCCAAGTATGAACTGAAACATAAGCCAAGATGAATCTCACCATCAGGTATTTTGTCCCAGCAATGAGGGAAGTAACTAAGACAGAGGAGTAGGGTTGTTGCTATGATACTACCTGACCCTGTGGCTCAGAAGCCTTTGGACCTACCTGTTCCTGGAAAGTGCTTGGAAAAGATGTGAAGATGCCGTAGAAGTCCTGAAATGCTGTAAGCCAAGCTTGATGGGAGGCTCTAGTCAGAGCTCAGATGACCGGAATAGAAACGGGAATAGTAGACCCCAGGCTCCGGAGGGTTCAGTGAGGAAGAAGGACTCCACTGGCAGTTGCACTTGAGACCATGTGTGTTATACTCTGGCAGAAAATTTGTCTGCATTGAGCTCATGTCCTGAGATTTTGCAGGAGACTGAGATTAAGGGTAGTGGATTTATTAATCTGGTGGACGAAATTTCAAAACAGCCCAACGTTCAGGCAGTGACATGGTTACTGTTGGGGGCTTTTAGCCAGCTCTGCATTGATTTTTTTGTTTTGTTTTGCTTTGTTTTTGTCATTTTGAGACAGGGTCTCACTATGCAGTTCATGCTGGCCTTGAGCTCACTTTGTAGCCCAGGCTGGTCTCAAACTCGAAATGATCCTCCTGCCTCAGCCTCCTGAGTGCTGGGATTACAGGCGTGGGCCATCACGTCCTGCTCTGTATTGATTTCTGTGTGTTTTTGGTTTTTTGAGATACAGCCTGGCTATGTAGCCCAGGCCAGTCTCACACTTGCAACGATCCTCTTGGCTTGACCTCTCAAGTGTTAGAATTACCGTCATTGAATTACCACCACACCTGGCTGAGCCAGCTCTACATTGAGATCGAGACCAAATGGCACATCTGAGTAGTTCTGTAAGTTTTCAGTTTTGCAACCCTCTTACACAAAAAAAAGTCACAAAGGTGGAGCAGAGGAGAGCTCGTGGCTGAAAAGATTAACATCAAAAAGAAGCCAAGTACTTTGGATCAGGGCAATAGAAAAAAGTGGTTTGAGGGAACCTGCAAGATCCCTCACTTTACAGGCTCAAGGGTGCAAAGCTGTCAAGTTTTCATTTGAGAAGAGATCCCTGGGGCAGCGCTGTGGCAGGAAATTGGTTCCCGAGGATTCTGCTGGCAGTGCCCAGCCATTCAGCTACTCAGAGGCCTCCGTAGTCGCAGTGCGAGGAAGGACTGCCCGCTGCCATCAGCAGATCTTGGCATCACCACGTGGTGCTGGTTTTACAGGAATACAGAATACAGGAGCTGCAGGGTGGAGAAGGTTTCTACCTAGATTTTAGGAGGCCTAGAGGGCCAACCAGTGTGCCTCTGAACGGGCAATGTGAAGCTGTGGAAGGAAGCAGTGGAGACCCCAGGAAGTTGGAGAAGCTCCCCAAGCTGTCATGGTTTGCGGGATACTGCAAGGGAGAACAATATAATACAGGACACATAGTTTATAAGATTATTTATAATAGTCACCCAAAGAATCATATACAAAAGAATGTAGGAAATCCGTCTACACACTAAAGACCAAAGAATCCAGCTAAGGGCCTGGATCTTGTGATAATGTTCTGCATGAGTCCAGCT